ACTTTTATAAGGAGTATGGTCTAGAACTGCTCTATTTGAAAAGTGTCCTGAGATAACTTCTGTTATGAATTGGTGCTATACAAATACAATTCAATTGAATTGAAATTGAATTAAATGGAATGGAACCTTGATTAGTATAATTAATAGCTATGTTTACCCTACTGCTTCATGTCAAAATGGCTGCTGTAAAAAATGTCTATAATGCAAACATAATTCAGAAAAGGTAACTTAAAGCTAAATGTTGTGCATAGAAATATGGCTTTATATGTTAAATGTTACTCATTGACAAAAACCCACATGCATTTTTTTTTCAAAACACTTTATTGTCAACAACAGTACAAAAACAAAAGTCTGTATTTACAACACTACTATGGCCTTCTCATCTTACCCTCTTTGGTTTCACTGCTGACCTGATTATTTGAAAAGGAACAAAAGGTATGAGAAAACGATGGACCAGGTGCTTAAAAATACCGACTTTCTGCTTTCATGTCATATAGCTTCGCAACCATCCCACAATCTGATTATACTGCCGTAATTCTGAAGATGCGAGGTGGGGGAGTGCGCTGCATTGGTAACTTCTACATGGTGTTAAAAAAAAAAAAAGGGTGGACTATCATCTCTTTGATACAGTTTGTAAAAGTGGCATCCCAAAGACAATCACAAAGTTAACTAGTGCACGGTTCCTTCAAATTAACGCTGCTAACTATGCCCTGAAGCGGTTGAAAAGGTCAATTTAAAAGACTGCAATTGCTACTGTCTTGCCATACTAATGGGATTCATGATGCAAGGTGATTAAAATCATTGCGGTCAGGGAGGCGTTAGCCAGATGTAAACTCAAATTTCTTATAAATAATCCTGACTATTAGCAATAGTCTTAATCCCCCGGTATCCTCAGAAATATTAACGGATTGTAGGTTGAGGTGAAATGTTGATGCTTCTTTTTTGTCAAGTTATTCATCAGAACATGAGTCATAAATATGTAGATGTATTCAGCAGGTTTACACATTGAGAATTGTAAACTAGTGAACTACAACAACGTTTAGGATTCTACTCAAGCCGTCTTTTCAACGCTCTCTTTGGTGGGTCACTGGGCTGTTGCATTATGGGATGAGTCAAAGCAAAACTGTAAAATCCAACATCTTTATGCACCTCATCTAATCTGCCAATCTCAATCACTGTCTTCAGTTTGTGTTATCCTTCACACCACTGGGCTAAAAATAATATTAAAACATCAGAGAATGAGCTGAGATACTGTATCGCCTGATTAACTGTCATGTAACTCTCCTACCATACAGTACCTTTTCAACACATGATGCATTCTGCGCAGGCTTATAAAAACAACTATCTTGCATGCTGCAGCATCGCCATCCAGGTAGGTTGCACACAGAATATAAATACATCAAAAACACAAAAAATAGAATTCAGACCTGGCATCAGTAAAGCTCTTCCAAAACCAAAACAGCAAGTATTAAAATCTACTCCAAAAACCTACCAACCTCAAAAGGTTGGTACAGAAGCTGTAGAGCAGAAAGGTGAAGACATGTTGTCAACAATGTAGTGTATTAAACTAAACCACATGAACTTCAAAAAGAAGAAAGTTATGGCAGAACATACTTTTGAATTTCTTACAAGTTGTTGCACGTTTCCAGTGACTTCTTGCCTTTTCATTTCTTTTTGCATTTTCAGAAATTATTTCAATCATTTCAAATTATTTGCAACATAAAGGAATTAAAAATCCCTCCTGAGACAAAAGACATCAACAAAAGCAACTAATGTTTCATTTGCTGAATGCCAATTCACAAATGCAATTTAGAACACAGTATGGGGTTGATCCCTAGTGTCGAGCAGTAACTCATTACTAGTAATAATATTACAGTAATATTACTTTCCCCAGTAATAGGGTAGTAGTGTAACTAATTACTAATACATTTCAGTAATAATATTAGTTACCCTCTCAAAAAAATAATTAGTTACAACCTTAGTTTCCTTATTTTTGTTGTCACCTCCCTGCTAATTTGAAATCAAACAATCCAATCACATTCATAAATTCATTTTTGTAACCTTGGAAGATGGAAACACTTCTATTACTTTGATTTTAACAAATAAAACACAGTTACCAATCTTATGGGGAGTAGCAGATGGGTAAAATAACTAGAAGTGTAACTAATTACAGTTGGCAGGGAGTAATAATTGAAGTAATAATATTAAAAGAGTAATAAATAAATAAAATGTAGTCACTAGCACAACACGGCCAATCACACAGAGGTGCATTGCTAGAAACGGATCAGCAACAAAACCATTGTTTTGGGTACAGTGCGCCTGCTGTGCGCTCCTCTCCTGCACCGCATGTTTTTCTAGTGGTTTTTAGACATGCATTAAACTATCCAACTAGCCAATCAAAGAGCCAGACTTTACTACTTTACCATTTACTTCCCATTTGATGCTGTTTACTATAGCGGTAAACAGCTCAGCTAGCTAGCTAGCTAGCTGTTGGACTGTGAGAGAACTACAGAGCAGGGATGTAGTGGGGTAGACTCAGTTATCCAATTCTAAAGAGCTAGAGTTTACTCTTCTAGAGCCCGACGTCTGCTGAAATCTGTCAATCAGTCCCTACAGGAAGTTGCAATGTTGTGATCGCAAACAATGAATGCAAATTCAATCATTAACTATGAATTCTGTACGACTTATAATTTTGTCCAATCAAAGCAACTTTTCAACAAATTGACCAATCATTGCAGTTTCCTGCGCAAAATGGTGAGCCATACGCCACCAACCTCGCTTCCTTGTTTCTGGTTATAATAATCCTGAGCCTTTTTTAGTAAAGTTACTTGGAACTCTCCAAACAATGAGATGTTATTCTCACTGGAACAAGCTGCCATCAGTATAATAACAATAATTTTTCACTTTCACTCCCAATTTCATTGCAAAAAAAACATTGCAACATGCATTGCTGTCAAATCAGGCATTTTAGGCTGCAACAATCAAAAAAAATCCTGCAAAATCCTGGAGGGACTGGTTAATCATACTTGATCAGTTTTTCCCAACGCGCTTTGCCAAGGCGTTTTTGAAGCGCCTGTCATGATGCCTCTCTGTGTGATTGCCTGCTAAATTAGTTTCTTTGGGGTTACAGTTACAATAAACTGCATGTACAGAAAATCATTCACAGTACATCCAGTCCAATACAATGTCTATAACAAGGACTCTTCTGTGATTGGCATCCATTAACTAGATATTCAGAAAATCCTTTGGCCAGTGTTTCAAACAAAGAAAACTTAAGTTAGGAGGTTATGGATATGTCGAGGTTATCTTCTGAAAAGCTTGAGGACAGCTTGGGTAGAGATTATACAGCAGTGAAGTGTCTTTTTCTTTGTGCAAATGCTTTTCCACACACAGCGCACAAAAAAATAAGAACAAAAATGAACATTGGCATGCTCAGCCAGGGCACACGCATAATTGTGATTTGTTATACAGGCCTTTAAAAAGTGTACAAGGAATTTACATTCTTTGAAGAGATTCAAGAACAAAAAGAACAAAAGAAAAAAAAATCCTAAAGAAAAAACTACACCACACAGCCTCACAGAATCGCTCAAACGAAACATAACAGGGAGCATTCACCAGGAACACAAAAAGCAAAATGGCACAGTAACACGAGGCAGCCTCAGTGCAGACTTCAAACAGTGAGGTGGGACAGCAGGCTGTGGGCACGACTTAGTGGAAATTTACTCTGATTGTTGCTGCTTGTGTGGAACCTGATGGAGCCAACTGGGAGTCTGTAGTTTTAATGTTGCAAGCTGCTTTCAACTTCTTCTTCCCCAAAAAAAGACATACAGTGAAATATAGTCATTAACAACAGTCGTTTCAATAATGATAAAGATTTTAACATATGAAATACATAAAAAATACACACATATTCAAATGAATCTTAAAGGTTAATTCCAGTTTATGATAACCTAGATCTTGTTTCCTTGGTTTTGGCCATCAGTCCGATCCAAAGACTAATTAAAAATGGATGTAGTGACATCACACATAGGTTTCTGAAGAGCCGTTGTATAGCTCAGTGTGAGCTAACATCTTAGCAGTCCTGATACCAATCCAAAAATGGGCAAAGAGATGGCAAGTGGGTCTGGCTGAGGCAGGCTGAATGAAGCCTGGTTACTCAAAACAGGCTGTGATGGCACCCACCTGTCACTCAAAGTAACCATGCCCTTAACTTCCATAACTTTAAGCCTTAATATAATTTAAACAGGTGAGTTATATAAAAATTCACCCCCTGTACAGTTGTGATAAACAATGAAATTGGCTACAGAGACCAAAAGCGTTTTTTTACCAGGCTGTAAATTTCTGCTGTATGGTTGAGGCCTTAGAGATTGACTCCCTGCTGGAGATGGCCTCAAGTGGTCGTTAGAGGAACTCCAGTCTTTGGCATTTTTGCTTAATTTTGAGGGTTGCATTTTGGTCTTATCAAATATGACAACCTTGTACTCCCCAAAGTAACCGCTGAGATCTGGGGACACAGTGACATCACAAGGAGCTGGTAGTATGCTAACATACTGATTTTAATCATTATCAGATATACTTCATTGATCCCCGGGTTGAAATTTGTTTAACAGGTATAAGTTTCAGGGTTTCACAGCCATCCATCCAATATAAATGCTGAGATATGTCAGCCTGGACTAAAAACTTACACTGCCATCCCTAGAGCCACAGCATGACTAACAACAGATAATGTGTGCAGCTTACACACACTTCAGCTTAGACATGCTTTTTCTAGAGTGACATGATCTCAAAAGGCCTATGAGAAAGCAGACTGAAAAACATACAAAATTGTTAATACATTTTTGTTTTAAAAAGTGAATCTATAAATGAAACAGTAATTTAGGTTGCCAGCCATTTTTGCAGTCTACACAGCAATCTGTAAAATGCCAATCACATTTTGTTGACTATTTTTGATAAACTTGAGCATTGATCCCTTTCTGATGTTTAACAATGTTGCCATGTTACGAGATCTCAGCTAATCATTTGCTTTGCACTAATAGGACTGATGGCCAAACCTATAAGAACTTCCAAACATAAGAAACAAGTTGTGATGAAAATGGATTAATCTGATCTGAAATGTAACTTGATCAGATTCCGCCTGTGTGTGTGGGTGTTGGAGTTGTTCTGATTCCGATACCAGTATCGGAAATCCAATAGCTGCCGAAAATGGGGCAATAGGTATCGGTGAGTACTGAGTCAGCACCGATCCGGATACCACGTCATTTATAAATTGGATCTATTTATACTGGTTAGCCTCTGTTAAGCTTCTGACACAGTTCTTCTTCGCTGCTCGTTGAAAACAGTGGCCCCTGTGCTGCCAACCCTGCAGCTGCTGTTTTTAGAGGGAACGAGGGAGGAATTGGTCCACTGACACCCTGTTAGACAAGGAGCTAACTAGCACTAGCATATCATGTTGGCGGTGTTGGCAGTAATTTCATGCTGGATGCTCCCACCAGCAAAAATAATTGTGGCTGCAACTTTCATTTCTTTAAGAAAATAATTAATTCCGCTAGATTATTTAGTTAAGTTGCTGTTGCAACAACTGCTTTTACAAAAAATACTGGTTTTTAAAAAAAAATAAATGGCTTGAATTTGCTGCCATGTATCATGTTTTACGAAAGGGTTTAACCCCTGAGCAGGCTCTACCACAATGATAACCATATCACAGTCATGCAAGGGCGTAGTAGTGTTTTGATATTTTTTTATAGATCATACTGGATACGGATCGGTACCGTACTTGGCCGATACCCACAGTCACAAGTATCGGAATCGGTATCGGGAGGAAAAAATGGTATCGGAACATCTCTACTGTGTGTGTGTGTGTGTGTGTGTGAGACAGTTCTTACCTCTTTTATCCCCAGTAGTACAGCCTGAGTGCCTTTAAACAGTGTGATTGTTCTCCTCTAGTTTCTTGCTCTCCTCAGATGTCCCCACCTCCTTCTCACCAGTTTTCCAGCTTCCTTGTCTGTTGTAGTGAATACACATTGCAAAAGCATGATGCTTTTCTCTGCTACAGAATAACCCCCCCACCCCGCCCCAGACGGCACAGTCAGTCACTCCACAGCTGTCTGCTAACTCTTCTTTTCAATATGCCCACGCCACCTTCCTACTTCCTCCCCTAGTGCTCTGAATACCTCCCACCCTACATTAGCACTTGGACACATGATCATTTTAGGGCAGCCAGGAGTGTTTGTTCAATCTTTTGTTGGAGACTGTGGCTGTAACCCATGACCACCTTCCCTCTGATTATTATTCCAGATTTACTCTCAGGAGTACAAACTCTGCTTTCTCCCTCTGTTTGGAATGCAGTAGTGTCACCAGGACTCAAGCAGGGGCCTTGAAATTTAAATGTAAAATGCAAATGTTCCCATACCTTGAATTCTTTATGTACAGCCAGTAGATGATCCCCACCACGGCGGCAGCAAAGAGGAGCCCTGCCACGACACCCACTATGAGCTTGGCCTGGTCCTCTGAATCGTCTGAAAACAGACAACAGTGCTCTGCTTCAGCTGCAGGACTAACACACACTGTACTCACAGAGAAGCTTTTCAACAGAAAGCACCAAAATGAATTCACTTTTAACTTGATGAGAGCACAGACATCAAAATCATAACGTGTCCTCAGAAGCTCATTCTCTGTGATGTTAGCTTGGTCCCACCACCTTTTCAAACTCTCCTCTGCTTGCACTCATTTATGCTCAAGCCATAAACTTTCATTGGCTAACACTTTATCACGCAACACTTTACTGCTTTGTCTTTGTGTTTATAGTTCAGCGACTTGTTCTTGTTGTTACCGCGGTGATACGAGTTGTTTATATTCCGGGAAACATCTGCAGCACGTGCTGAAATGTTGGAGACTCTGGGGAAGGAGATGTTGGCTGGCGTGCTGCTTAATGGAACAGGAGAGGTGTATCAGTGTGTCAGGGAGACGAGAAAATGCATTAATGTTAGAGCACCTGCTAACTGTTTTGACGTTTGGCTCCATCACATTTATATATTATATTATTATCGTCACTCTCCGTTCCCTCGGCAGATTAATGGCAGCTGTGCTGTAGGTGCCAAACAACGCTATCTGACACTACAACTACAACGGATAGCAGGTGTGCGGTATGCGTCACTGTCGTGAATAATGTGTATATCCTGTAGACCGACACTTTGTCACTACAGTATAAGGGTTAAACTGACTTGTTTTGTTGACAGGATTTGAAAATGACAAGATAAGAAAATGATAGGAGGCTGTTTGCAGCTACAGATCACTGTTTAACTAATCTTTTACATGTTAAATTTAAATGTCTTATTATTTGAATACCATATAATGTACTTAAAATACAATATACTTTGAATGACTAGTAGCTTACTATCCATGTGTATATTTAGTTTATATCAAGGCATTATAGGTGATGATCGGCACATACAGATACTGTATAGTGGAGTCATGGTGTCACACTACCTCTGCCTGTGGTCAGGGTTTGATGGTCACATTTGTCCCAAAGGATTAACATTAAGATAAGATAAAATGTTCCTTTATTGTTCCCCCGTGGGAGAAATTCATAGGGTAAAATGTAGTGCAAAAAGTAAAAGTGTAAAATTATCGTTTGTTGCGGCCATTGCATCCCTTTTTACAAATATTTTCACATCTTGGTGAATTAAGGGTTTATTTCGACCAAATCAGTGTTGATGACTGTTGGAAAGACAAAGCCTGTTCTATTTTGTTTCTCTCTTATTGTCTTGACCTGAGATGCTGGTGTTCTAACATGACGTCCAGTGGCAAGTAAGTTTCATATATACTGTATAACTTGTAAAATTAAACATCAGTAACAACCCTAAATAACCATTTCTGCTAATATTACGCTTTAGATGACACTTTAATTATGTACATATGAGACAAGTATGTCTGCGGTTGTTGCTATTTTCAATGATTGCTCAGCATCAGAATACAGAAGAAGCCAGGTCGCATTCCTTCAACACTACAAATGTAATTGCCAATCTTGAGATGCCAACATCTGGCATCTCTATTTGATGACTGTGTTTTTGTCACTAAAGGCAACTATGCACAGGCCTTTAATAATCATCAGGCACTGTTGATAATCTCCTCTGCATTAGTTAACCAGTCTTAAGAACGGTAACAAAGATGGAAGAGTTGAGATGAGGTGTTTATACACTGTATTGTCAGCAGGTGAGGTGATGAATATGGGTCTGAGTTTAAACATGAAGAGAGAGTGATGAGTGTTTATTGGTGCATCATAAGATAATCTACAAAGATAAGTTGACAAATATTTTCTATGATACTACTCCTATTTGATATATTTAAAGGAAACTCTTACCTTGTTTCCAATTTTCTTCCTTAAAAACTGAAATCAAACAAAAATAAAATTAGAACTCATAAAAAAAAAGCTAAACAAAGACAAACATATGCTATTTGTCTAAAACAACCGAAAGCATTCACAGTGAGAGCAGCCAGGACAGGTGCAGCCTCACAAAATAAAAAGTTTTAAAGATTGAGCCTCACAGCAAGCAAACTGTACCTTTTTAGAAAGAGGAAAGCTACAGTACATTCTAAAAGCAACAATGTACTCTACTTTCAGAGAATATGCCAGTCAGTGGCTCTTAGACTGCAGGGGAAGAACTGTGAGATGGGTTTAGCACCCTAACAAACAGGAAATCCAGCCAAAGCCAGGAGATGGTGAAGGAGGAGAGACAAAAGGAAAGAGGATTATGGCAGACAGAATGAGGAGGAACAGCAATGGCAACAGCATGTATGAAATGTAAGGATACTGCTGTAGCATTCAGAATCAGAATCAGAAGCAGAAGCAGAACCTTCTGATTCACCATTAGCCTTTGACAGTCATTAAATACTCCTGTTTGTTTTGCTTTTTTCATCCCAGTAACCGTAGTTGGCAGAGAGTAGGGAGTGTATGTAAATGTTTCACATAAGCACATCCTGCAACAGTCTGAGTTAGTATTCAACAACTGCTGCTGATAATAGGTTCAAATGACTTGTAGAAAATGGAACAAAGGACAATTATACAGTGCTCTCAGAGAAAGGAAAAAACTGCTTCTAGTAGAGAGGGATAGGGATAGTTCAGGTGGGGTCGTATGAAGGAATCATCCATATTTAGTGTGTTACAGTATGGCGGAAAAAAACACTATTTTAGCTACTAAAAAGGCCCAATGTCAGTAAAGGTGCTATATTAGGAATATTTCTACCGCTTTACCTTTCTGTCATACAGCCCTATCTGACAGGAAACTGAAGCCGTTATATCGATCTATGCTCTCTCCAAAACCACCAGACTAAACCAGATATAAACACTTGAGTTCCCCGTCAGATTGGGCTGTCTGACGGCAAGGTAAAGCAGTGAAAATATTCTTAATATAGCCTTTTTTAGTGGCTAAAATATGTTTTTCTGCTGCCCCCACCCACAGCAGTACATTGCTTTGTGTCTGTGCCGGTAGTCCTGTCTGCTTCTCCAAATTGAGAGCCCGCTGACTTTGCTTTATCATACAACACTGCTACAAAAAACCTCAACTCATCCTTTAAAGACTGGTTTTTTGTAACAGCAACCTTTCTAATAACAAAAAGTACAAATCAAAGTTGGACTACAGTAGACGCGCGACTAATTAGACTAATTATAGCAGAGCCTAGTATGGTGTAGAATAATTGTTGTTAAAACATCTGCAGTGATTCATTTGTAAAGCTGCAAACAATAGCAGTGTGATGAGTAAAGAAATCAATACTTTTTTGTCAGAATGGTAGTGTCCCTGTTCTCAGTGTTCAACCACAATGCTGCTGTGATGTGAGCTGAAAATGTAAGAACACTGCTGATCACTCTATTGTATTTACTGCCGAAATAGGTTTTATCACGGATTAACTCATTCTTTATACTTATATTCCAGAAATAAATACTTTTATTTTTTAATATGTTTTGCTTAAATGTAACAGCTATAATTTAAAGATGACGTCACAGATCATGCTGTTAGGCTCCGCCCCTTAAAATCCGATTTTCAATGAGCACAGAGAAACTTTCCACGAGCACAGAGAAACTTTCCACTTCATCAGATGAATGTAAAAACATCCTTCTAGTGTCAAACTCTGCACAGACATAATTTAAACAGCACACTGTAGGAACAAGAAACAATACAGATACAAATACAATACTGGAGGGGGACTTCAAAGATTTTTATTCTTTTTAAATCAATCAATATGTTCCTTTTTAGTAGTTTTATAAATCTCCTTATTCCTTATACTCCTGTATTTATGTTGGTACAATGATGCAATTTCACTATGTTTTATCTTATGTGTTGCCCATAAAAGACAAAATAGCTCTCACTCAAGCAACTTGAATTACCACAAACAGCAGATATGCTTTGAGTTGGTGTCCACTGTTAAGATGCTGTCCTCTTTAATGTAGCTTCTTTTGTTGTAGGAATTGCAGTCTTACAATGGACATTCATTATTAAAATGAGGCTGCAGCTGAAAGCTCCTGGCAAGATCCTCTCTAACTGTAAAGTCACACACTGGCAGAAATACAATCATCAAGTCACCAGCAGCTTGCTTGTTTTCTACAGAGCTGAGCTGTAGAAAATGATGTGTAGAGCGTCAAAGAGAGAAGCTGTCACTATACAGCAAATGTCTGCGAGTCCTTGTTTTAAGGAACATTAAAAACCGTGCATGGAGAATGGATACAACTGAGCTTAAGTTTTATTTCACTGATTCGTCTCTCTGTTTTCAACTAATGCTGCTTAATTAGCCTAATACATGAACTCAAACAACAAAAGGCAGTACCACAGCGGCGCAAGTCAAAATACACCATGTTTCTGTTCAAAGCTGAAACTTCCCCCGCACAGAACCATGCACCTCTCTCATTTCCCACAATAGGGAATATAAAACTAACCATCCAAGTCGTTGACAACTTACCAGAGGAGACATTGATGGTCATGACATCTTCTCCCAGCTTATTGCTGACGGTGCAGGTGATACTCAGGTTCACCCTGGGAATCACAGTGATCTTATGGGTGGCCTTGCCGTTGATGTAAGAGCTCTCCTCCTGTAGGCACAGAAAAAAAAAAACAGGAATATAAGGCTTCAAAAAATGTTTGGGGAAAAAAACTAAAACACATAGCAGCCTCCTTAGTTACATTATCAGCTTTACAATTCTACAGGATAGTTTGTATATTGCTTGGCAGGTGGGTGATTGTGGGACAGTGGGAAGACCGATAATGGGAGGAAATTACCACAAATGTTGACATCAGACAGTGGAGCTGAACTCGATATGCAGGGGGAGTCGTTAAAGGTAAAAATTGCACAGTCATTCTGATTGCAGAAGTAAACACCTGCTTCCCTGCCAACAAACCTGAATCTAATGTTGCCTCGTTGTCGGAGCATTACCTGCTCGTGGAAGAGTTCATCACAGTTCATCCTGATAAGAACATTATTTATTAGAGAGAATCGTGTTCTGCACTGAGGCTGAATATCATCCTCACAGTGTACTTGTCTTAGAGATTTCTTGGCTAATTCAAATAACTGAGGTTTAAAGGAAAAGTTTTATTCCTTCTTAAATACATGTGCAACATTGTTTGCATTTCCATTGATCTCTGAAAATCCAGGCCGCGGCCAGGGTTGTGACAGTGCACCACCACCATCTTTGATCAAGCCTTGTAAAAACCTAGCATGACATATTGCATACTGTCACCAGTGACAACCATGTATCTAGTAGAAATGGTAGAGAAGAGTGAAAACCTCAGAAGCTCTCTTTACTTAAATGGCAAGAGCTGAGGAAAAATCTGAAGGCTCCTCAAAGAACACTTTAATCACACCACGCTGCACTGTTTGCTTTTATCTCACTTCACTTTGCTGCTTTTGCCGCAGCTCCTTCTCTTTCACTAAAGATACTAAAACACTCACTCATCCATGCTCCGACACTTACGTTTGTGTTGTTGACGCTCCATTGGAAGCTGGGTTCCGGCACTCCCTCGGCCTCACATGTCAGAACTTTGTGTTGAGCATCGCCGGCGCGGTGTTTGGTTAGGCTGGTGATCACAGGCTTTCCTGATGGAGACACATTATGATGTTTTTAGTTCAGTAACGTTTTATCTCAAGCAAATAATTCATTTGATCGAAAATTATACGACCTCCAGCTTTTTTCAGAGGTGAAAGCAGGGTGTCCTGATGGATTTCAACTATTGAATTGGCTTCAGTTATGAAAAAGAGATGCACTAGGAAGTGAAGACGCAGTATGCAAGCTGTCTCAAGGTGAGGGTTAAATACTGTATTCTTAACATTTTGTTCAGTCAGTGAAAATGTTAAAATTAAAATGTTTATAAGTAGACATTTTCTTCCTGTGATAACTCCCCGGAGTTCTTGTGCTTTATCGTCTTGCAGGTTCTTATCGATCCTGGTGGAGCCATGGTCCTGCTTGACTGCCGTTGCTAATATCAATGATATTGTCATTATTAGTTATTAAGCATTATTATTGCTACAGTTCTTGCTGTTGTCGCTGCTCGCTATCCCCCATCGTTGCTGCTGTTGTCTGTCTGTCTGTGTCACCCCAACTGGTCAGGGCAGATGACCACCCACCTAGAGCCGAAGGGTCTGCCCTAGGTTTCTGCCTTTTAACAG